CTGGAGTTAAGCTGACCTGGTTGGGTTTCATCTTCAACTCCACCACTTGTTAAGTGAAGATATTTAGCCTTGTATGCCTCTGTTCCCTCGCTTATAAGGGGAAGATAAAGAGTATTATCTACGTCACAGGGTAGTTAGTAAGGAGTAAATAAGAATGTGTGGTGCCTGGCAACATAGTATATAGTATGTACCTATGGTGGCTCCATGTAGGTAACTGCTGTGATAATGAAGACCCATGACGATACATCTGTGTTATCTTTAAGTTTTGGAAAAAACTAAAATATTTCTGAAGTTAAGGTCATAATAGCTAGCTTTATTTTCCACATTGCCCAGTCTAAGGACAGCACAGAGTTCTCAAGAACTCTTTGTGGCCCACATTAACCACTCCTTCTGGTGCCATGCTGGTGCTCAGGGCTACTTGGTGCTCTAACCCTACTAGAGGACAGGTTAGAAACTGCTGCCATTGTGACTGGAGTCCTGATGATGACAGGACCTAATCATCCGAACCATAGTCATAGCCTGGTGATTCTGTGTATGTGTGTGTGTGTGTGTGTGTGTGTGTTGATTTTTCAGAGAAAGAACACTCAGTTCTGAGAAAAGTACTGTTGGAGGATGAGGTCTTGGCCGCCATGGTGTCTGTCATTGGCACTGCCACCACCCACTTGAGCCCTGAGTGAGTATAATCATTGATGTGGCTTGATCCTAGGCAGGAGGATAGCAGTCTTGGGGAGAAGCAGCAAGTAGCTGCCTTCTGAGCTGTCCTTTTACCCAGAATCAAATGTGGAGGGAGTAGTTTTGCTGACAGAGTAAAAGGAAGGGGCTTTTTAGTATCATGGACTATGAGGGTAGTGGAGGCATGGGCTAATGGTTCTTGGCTACAGATGTGCATAAGAATCACAAGTGGAGCATTTTTTTTTTTTTTTTTTTTTTTTTAAATATACGTTGAGTTCTCTGACTAGACTGTAAACTCCAGGAGAACAGGGATTTAATCTATCTGGTTCACTGCTAAATCACCAGGGCCTAAAATGGGAACGGTTCTTAGCACATAATATATGCTGAATTAATACTTGCTGAATGAGTGAATGATCATGTTCTGGCCCATTGACTCAATGACTCTAATGTGAACTCAAGGTACTTCAATTCAGAACCCTGGCTCCTTGGTGTGATACGTAGTCTTCCATCCCCAGCTTAGCTGCCCAGAGTGTCGCCCGCATTGTGCCCCTTTTCTTGGATGGCAACATCTCCTTTCTGCCTGAAAACAGCTTCCCTTGCAGATTCCAGCCATTCCAGGTGAGGGTCTGATGGATCAGAAGGCAAAGAATCTTGGGACTTTTTTTTTTTTAAGATCGTATTTATTTGAGAGGGAGCGCGCGCAAGAGAGCACAAGCGGTGGAGAAGGAAAAGCAGACTGCTGAGCAGGGGGCCCGATGTGGGGCTCGATCCCAGCACCCTGGGGTCATGACCTAAGCTAAAGGCAGCCGTTTAACCGACTAAGCCACCCAGGTGCCCCAGGACTTCTTTCCTTCAAATTTTTAGGGCTAATCTGGGATTGGTTTGGGGGCATACAAGCCTATTGCTGGCAGGACAGGCTTGCTGGAGCTCTTCTTCTTTTATAGGATGGCTCCTCAGGGCAGAGGCGGCTGGTTGCACTGCTTATGGCCTTTGTCTGCTCCTTACCTCGAAATGTGAGTACATTTGGGGAGTACCCTAGTTTAACCCTGATAAGGGGAGGCAGCTCCCAAGTGACTTCTGGGCAGAAACTTGCCATGGGCTAAGCTGATCTTCTGTTTTCCTCACTGGAGAATTTAGTTCTCATCCATCCTGGCCCCTGCTGCCACTTTCTACTGGGTATCTCTTGGAGTGCTAGTGTTCTCTTCGTGCATCACATGGTCAGGTTTTGTGTAGGTGGAAATCCCTCAGCTGAACCAACTCATGCGGGAGCTTGTAGAGCTGAGCTGCTGCCCCAGCTGCCCCTCTTCCTCCACCGCTGCTGCCAAATGCTTTGCAGGACTCCTCAACAAGCTCCCTTCAGGTACTGAAATGAGGCTGGGGGTTGGGAGCCTCCCTGAATCGATTACTGATGAAATCTTGGAAGTTCAGCTCTTATGCTCTTTAAAAAAGGAGCTGCTAATAATGTAATAGGGACTCCCAAGGGACAGCCCTTGGGACAAGAGTCGGGACCAGAGTTGGGCAAAGCATTAAGGGACATAAGAAGATATGAGGGTTCAAGCAGAGTGCTCTGTCTAGGTCTGTCATCCTACTCACCACAGGGAGCTATTAGAGATGATTTTTTACTAGAAGTAGACTGCTCTTTCCAAATACTAGCACCCATGTTAGGAGATACCAGACTCTCATGCTAGTGTCCTAGAGCTGAGTGAGCACAGTCACAGCCAGAATGATACTGTTCTCTTCTGAAGGCTTCTCAGGGAGCTCTGCATTTAAATGACTTATATCCTTTGTTGTTAAAGGAGAAATGTGTAGCCTCTGCCTCAGTGTTTCTTATTTTTAGGGCAACAGCTGGATGGATTCCTGCAGCTAGCTGTGGACAGAGTAGAGGCTGGCCTGAGCCCTGGGCCCTGTCGTAGTCAGGCCTTCACACTGCTTCTCTGGGTACGGAGCCAAAATGGATTCTGGTTAGACAGAGACAATGATGTCTGGTTAAATAAAATTTCTCCATTTGACCTTGAACCATAAGCATGCTTCTTGGAGTTCTAGGGTTTGAGTGTCATGCTCTGTTTTCTTTCTGATTACAGGTAACAAAGGCCCTAGTACTCAGATATCATCCTCTCAGCTCCTGCCTTACAGACCGGGTAAGTCCATTCTGGAGACAGGAGAGCCAAGGACCTACACAGAAACTTCCCTCTTTATTCTCCCAGAAAGGACAGCCATCCTCCTCTTGAGTATTTAAGATTGATTCTTCTCTTCTGGTGCACCTCTTTTCTCCAGCTCATGGGCCTCCTGAGTGATCCAGAACTAGGCCCAGCAGCAGCCGATGGCTTCTCTCTGCTCATGTCCGACTGCACGGATGTGCTGACCCGTGCTGGCCATGCTGAGGTGCGGATCATGTTCCGCCAGCGGTTCTTCACAGATAATGTGCCTGCTTTGGTCCAGGGCTTCCATGCTGCCTCCCAAGGTGAGAAGGGTCTAAAAGGCCCCAAATATATAGACCTTTCCTTTGCTCAGGCCACATTCTCTCAAATAATTTAGGACCTGAGTGCTTCTTTAGAGCTATACTGTCATCTGTACCTGAAAGGCTAAATTTCCACATTCTTGTCCCACTTTTTTCCTTTGATGAGCCTATCTTGCCTTTTCTGTGTGTGAGGGTTTTGGGAGGTTTTTTTCCAACCTTTTTCTAGGCTGATGTCCCAGCTTCATAGAGATTGGAGTTGAATTCCCAAGCTGTATGTCTGAGACCAGTTTCTCCCTAAGCTTTTCCATGTTTTTACAGATGTGAAGCCAAATTACCTAAAGGGCCTGTCTCATGTCCTTAATAGGCTGCCTAAGCCTGTGCTCTTGCCAGAGTTGCCCACGGTAAGCCCTGCAGTCAGAGCCTCAAACAGGGACTAAGCCACTGACCCCAGCCGGGGCACGGTGAGGTGGAGGAAAAGCAGGCTCATCACATACGTGATCGTGCCTGCCTTCTCTGTGGCCCCTTAGCTGCTTTCCTTGCTGCTGGAAGCCCTGTCCTGCTCTGACTGTGTAGTACAGCTCTCCACCCTCAGCTGCCTTCAGCCTCTTCTATTGGAAGCACCCCAGGTCATGAGTCTTCACGTGGACACCCTCGTCACCAAGTTTCTGAACCTCAGCTCTAGCCCTTCCATGGTGCGTTAAGCCCCCACAGCTCTTTGGCACCTATGTCTCTCCTTCATGGGTCTCCCGTCACCCTCTATGGTTGTGTTCCAGGCTGTCCGGATTGCTGCACTGCAGTGTATGCACGCTCTTACTCGTCTGCCCACCCCTGTGGTGAGTACCTGAGATAGTCCCCTCTGGCCTGGACCCTTCTTAGAAGAGCCAGAGAAGTACCTTTTTGCCTTAATCAAGTGGGACTGGCCACCCTGCTGTGTGATTGAGGTATACACAGGCAGGGATTTGCCTGACTACCCTGTAATAGAACAGCCATCCTGCCACAGAGCATTCTCTGGAATCACTAAAGGAGAATAGGAAGAACATTAGTCGTAGAGTCAGAGAAGCAGCCCTTTCAGTTGCTTTGGTTGAGTAAGGCCGTGGCTCTTCTAACTCCACAGCTGCTGCCGTACAAACCACAGGTGATCCGAGCTTTAGCCAAGCCCCTGGATGACAAGAAGAGACTAGTACGCAAGGAGGCAGTATCAGCCAGGGGAGAATGGTGAGTTTCTAGGTCATGGGCAAGATGGGATTGAAATAAAGCCGCATCGCTGATGCTGCCAACATTCTTTTTGCCTACAGGTTTCTGCTGGGGAGCCCTGGCAGCTGAGCCCTCGGTCCTGGCCTAGGCTGTTCTACAGACAGTCTAACCTGGAATTACTATCAAGCCATCTTGCCCAAGGCAGGGAGACCACTGGCCTCTGATTGCCTCTCCCTGGGCCACTGTTGCATGGCTCTATAACATAGGAATCCTACTTCTAATGGCTTTGTGAAGTAACTGTGAGACCACTTGTGTTTGAAGAAAGATTTTGGTCTTGGGGCTCTTCCATTTATTTGTCAGAAAAAGGGAGATATGCTGCTGAGGGGCGAATGCAGATGAATGTGGCTTTGAGGACCAGAATGATGGATGTGTGTGTACCTACTAGAGAATAAAGATTTCTTTTGGTAATGGGGCAGTCAGATTATTTCCCCCTCTCCACTTACGTCTCTGTGGCACCTAACTAGAGCACCACTGCATACACTTAAAGGAACACTAACAAGAATTCTTTGGGGCATCCACCCCATCAAGTAGAGCACAGGAAGTGTGACCAGAACACTAGGCCTTGACCCTGACTTCTCCCTTCCTCACCCTCTAGTAAAAGCAAAGAGAAGCTACATATCTTTAAAAATCAAATACCTTTATTTTTCACCTTCAGCAGCATGTGAGAAGTGGCAGTGACCTCAGCAGTAGGACTGGTGTCTTGCCCTGTTGAGAAGCCAGAATCTCCATTGTACTGTTCAGGTGTTTTCTCAGATAGCAAGTGGAAGAGGTGGTGGCCAACCCCAGTGCTGGAACCTGGAGGAGGTTGGGGTCAGCACCTGGCAAGGTTGCTAGCTGCCTAATCTCCAGTGTGGGGCTGGAACTTCAGTTTGCCTGAGCTGAGTAAAGGTCCGTCAGTCCTAGGATTTTTCCACATCATGCCTTGTTTCTGCAGTAGCCAGGAGATTGGTCCTTGAGTTGTCCCTGCATGGTACTCGAAGGCAGGCCCACTGACTCTTTTTGCCCAAGGATTCCAAGAAGCTATCCTTGGAGGCCCTTGAGACAATGCAGGAAGCAGAGTGGTGCTCAAGCTGTGGCTGACACAATCCAGCTCACACTGCCATCACAGAGGCTGAGTGAGCAGTCACCCAGGGAGGGGGGTCCCAGCTCATTCCATTCCCATGGGGCAGATGACTGGAAGGTAACAGCACCCGAGTAAGCCAGTGCCTACAAGAGAAGATAGAATGTCTGAGTTCCAAGAGTTCCTGGTCTTCCTGATCCTCAGTCCTCAGCAAGGATTCAAAGTATCCTGAAGCCACCTTGGCATTAACCCCAAAGGTAACAAAAGTTCTAATTTGTGCAGTGTGCCCTCTGGTACCTTGAGGGCCTTTAAAGGTTTCAAGCTAAACTTCTAAGGGGCCACTGCAAGCAGTGACAGGACTGTAATGAGGACGGGAAAGGGAAGAGGGCAGGTACTTCTGGTCACCTGATTATTACTGTCTTGGGAATTGCAATTTGAAAAGTGGTTTACCCTTGTCTCTTGGGCTCAGGGAGCGAACTTCATTTTTTTGTCTTAGGACTTCTGTTACAAATAGATTACTGCGATTCTACATGTTGCTGGCTTGAACTCCAGACACTGCCATACAAATGGGAGGAGGTTGGTGGTCACTATGTCCTCCCTAGAGGTCCCTTCTTGACGACAGCTCTCAGGGTTCTGTTGTGGTCATCTGTAAGCCTCATATGCATGTACACCACAGTTTTGGCCATAAGCCCCTTTGGCTCAAATGAACAATGGTCTCTACTCCCACAGTCTAGATCTGCAGTGGTCCATTATGGTAGCCACTAGCCACATGTGTCTGTTTAAATTAGTGAAAATTAAATTAAAAATACAATTTATGGGTACATTAGCCATGTTTCAAGTGTTCAGCAACCATATGTGGCTAATAGCTAATGTCTTAAACGGCATAGGTACAGAAAACTTCTCTTATCACAAAGAGTTCTACTGGATGGCACTGGTCTAGATGTTTTACTTTACCTTCCTGTGTCCACACCCAGGAATACCTTCCAGTTGTCCAAGCAGCCGTAGTTGTAATGATTCCTAAAAACCTAGAGCCAAGAAAAACACAGGTTTCTACAAACCCCTTTTCACCCAATCCCCTCCTAATTTTAGAGCCTAAACTGGCTAAGCTAAGGCTCAGCTAGGCAAGTTCTGACCTTTTATGACACCTGTTGGCCCTGACCATGGCTTCTGTTTTCAGGACAGCAGGTTCAGTTACCCTCCACCCCAAGCCCTCAGCCCTACTCACTCTGCCCTTGGCCTGCAGCCGACGTCTCTCCTTCTTGTTGATGTGCCTTTCGATACTAGTCTCACCTCGACTGATGAGAACAGCATGCCATACAGTTAGGGCACCCAAGGCAAGTGCTACGGAACTAAGAAAAGAGGGGCCAAGATTGGTGGCGAGCTTAGGGGAGGGGGCGGCTACAAGTAGGTCTGAATCTGAAACGGAGCTGAGCAATGATCCACTAGAGACCTCTCTGCCTAAGTCTTATCTCCCAGCCTACATCCTAGGTGAGTTGTTTCAGTACATCTATAAGAAACACCAATGAAGAAGCATTGACACGTGGAAAGAAGGGTGGGGAAACAAGTCTGCATTCCTAATAAAAATGGTCCATATCTCCTAAAATCCCCATGCTTAGGAAACAGCAACAGGAGAGAAAGCACCAGGTTTAGAACAGAGGCACACAGTTCCAACTGCAGCTCTCCCGTTCCCAGCTATGATCACATAGCAACTCACCTCACCCTCTCCTCTTCAGTTCTCATCTGGAAATTGCACTGCCCTACCCTGAGGCAGGAGTTTAACTTACCTTGGCTCAGAACACTCAGTGCTAGCATCCTTAGCATTCCCTGCCCCAGAACACTGAAGAAAAGGAAGCACTGACTCTCTGCCAAGCTAAATCAGACTAAGAAGAGTGGCTGGCAGATGACGACTGGGTCCCTACCTACACATGGGCACTGGAATGGTTGTCCCAAAGCTGCCCCCCATTAAAGTGTCAAAAATGAGTGTTCAATACCTGCACAGGAACCAGAGGTAGACAAGACTCTTGTGAGTCACCCTTTCTCGGAAGGAGAAGGTGGGTGGTGGGGTCTGGTGATAAGTCTAGAGAAAGAAGAGCAAGGGGGTTCATTTGCTCTGTTGGTCTTCACCACAGCCCCCAGCACCTGCAGGCAGGGAAGGGACCAAAGCCCAGGGTGAGAAAGTAGGGAGTTAAGCCACAGAGGAGTCAGGGTGGCAGCCAGATGGGTGGGCCAAGCCCGGCGGCATCATCATGTGGACACACACTGGGCAGAGCGGGTCTGGACAGGATGGCAAAGCACAGGAGGAGCCGACCCTGGGCCTCCAGATTTGACAACACAAATGGGGCTCCAGGGGAAGCCACTCCACTTCCCAGGGAGAACTCCCTCACTATGTGGCTGCAATCCTCAAGAGAGGAGGCCCACACCCAGAATACAAGCACAAGCAGGGAGAACTGAGCTCTGATTAAGGGCTGAAAGGGCAGCAGAGGTAAGTGGTACAGTCATGAGCCCAGGACCTCTCAGTAAGGGGTCCTAAAAGGCCCGGGAAAAGGGACGATCCTGACAACGGATGTAGAAAGACCAGGACCAAAGGGTGATCAGACTGGCCCAGACTGATCTCTGTCCCCTGGAACCCCATTACACACACTAACACAGACTCCTTGCTGCTCAGGCCATCACCAAGGCAGAGTCCTTGCTCAGCCCAAAGAAGGTGATAATGGGGTAGAGAGCCCAAAGCTCACAAACCAGGGACTTCAGTTTACCCCAAGCCACTCAGTCAGCAGATAGCTTCCCAGAACACCCCTGATCTAGTCTTGAGAGGCCCCTCAGCCAGTCTCTACAACTCCACTAACAGGTGGGCCCCTGCTGCCTCAGCAACCCCATCCCCCTGGCCTGAGCAGCAGGAGGCAGTGGGGTGGGGACGGCCCACCTGGTTGGCAACCGCCTGTAGTTTGTTCTTGTCGAGCTGTTTCATTTTCTAAGGGGATGGAAAACAGTGCTGGTTATACTCTCAGGCCTCTAGGGCAGGGGTGCTACCAGCCCCACTTCTTACGGACAGATTCCATGCCCCAAAATTCTACTGAGCTGTCCTGCTCCTAACTATGGGCTCACCTCGATGGCAGCATAAGCTTCCCGGAAAAGGTCCCAACTTCCATAGCTGCAGTAGACACAGCCCAAAGTCATGAAAAAACAGAAAGAGAAGAAGTACCGATGGTTATAGTGGCCCACACAGTTGTTTAGCCAGGCTGGTGGGGGAAGGATTAAGGACAAGATCAAACAGAGCTTCTGGTCTCTCTGGTTCATCCCTGCTTCATGATGGCATCACCCAAGCACAGGGCTTCCAGTCACCAAGAACTATTCCTCAAAGGCAGGAAAATATGGGACTGTTTCCAGAGGTTAAAGCTTTTCAGAGGCTTCACTAGCCCCACTGGGAAGTTGTGAAAACTGAAATCCTTCAGCAAAATGAATCTGCCAATACTTCAACCTAACTGGGGTTAACCAGCCACCTGTATGGGACAGCAGAAGGGGACCAATGGTTCTATCTGGCACACCCAGTGGACAACATGAAGCCTAAACATATCTTAACACCCCACAGATGTTAGCATGACGGTCTACAAAAGAAAGAACTGTTAGAATAGATGCCCTGCTCCAAGATCCGTCCCACAGAGAGCTTATAAGTCTCCGGCTTCCCCGCCCGGAGATGGCCAGTCCCCTCCACTCCTCTTCTACTAACTTTTCATAAGCCCAGTGTCCTAGGAGGGATGATGCCTTGGTTGTGGCACCACAACCCAGTGCAGGGCTCTGGAACTAAAGAAAGGCCTCAGGCAGAAGAGATCATAAAAGGATACGGCAGTGATGATCCATCTTCAGCACACACCTGTGAGGGAGGGACACAGGCTCTGTTACGGTGGCCAAGGTTCTTGAGAGGTCAGTGCTCATCCTTTCCTACAAGGCCCAGCATCCTGCTGAGGTGGAAAGGGCACAGACTTTGAAGACAGGCCTTGCTTCAAACCCTGCTTCATTGGCTACATGATCTTGGACAAGGTTAACTCATCTCTGAAGCTCAGTGTCCATAAGTGCTGACAATGCCTAGCCCAGGACCATCCTGAGGACCAGGTGTCACGATGTGAGGGCACACTGCCTGGTATATGACGAGCGTTTCATGAACGTCTTCTCAAACTATAGGTCTAAGTTTTGCCCTAGGGTTTCAGCAAAAGGGCCATAGCTGGGGTTCACAGCAAGCAAAGCCAAGACCCACCTATTGCAGATGCTGCAGTGGTGTGTTCGGGCTGGCTTGGGGTAAATGCACTTCTTACAGATGGAGACTGTTGCGATATCATTCCTGCCCTGTGCAAAGGGAGAAAAGCATCAGGACAACTGTGACAGCCCAGTTTTGTACCTCAGAAGATACCAAGGCACTCTCCCTCCCCACCCCTGGGGCTGCTCCCACAGCCGGCAGCTCTATGCCTTCCACGTGCCCATGGGGACCCACCTGGGGTGGGTATCCAGGTGGAGTGGTGATGGCCTGGTAGTAATGGAAGACGATAAGGATCAGATTCCAGTGGCTGTAGAAGAAGTGCCAGCAGAGCCGTGGCACTGAGTACGTTCGGAGAATGAGAGGCAGGACACACAGGTAGGCGATGGCCACGATGGAGCTGGTCAGCACAATCACCAGCACCACGAACACCTGCCCACACCAGTGAGGTCGGGGAGACACAGTGAGAGTTTGCCAACACCAAGAGCAGACTCAGGAATTTCCCTGGGGTAGGGGGCTGGTGTGGGTCCCAAACCCAATGTGAGTCCACCAGACACATGTCCTTCTGCTAGCCCAAAACATCCCTGGGCATCACTCACCACCCCACACCAGCGGATCACGTTGTCCACCAGCCAGTAGATAGGCTCAAAGGCAGCATCGACAGCGGTGTCACTGCCCCCAAAGGAGTTGTAGAGCAGGGAGCGCAGGCAGACCTTGCCGTAGCGCCAGCGCTGTACCAGGCCCCGGAGCAGAGGCGGGCGGCGGCGCCTGGAGCCCAGGAGCAGAAGCAGGCGCAGGCAGAGGCGGGCAGGCCCCAGCAGCAGGCTCCACGGGCCCCGCATGGCTCCTAGGAGAGCACACCATTGGGAGGAGCCAGCCCAGTCCCGGCCCTCCCTAGCCCACCAGGGAGGAGGAGGCGAAGACCTAGGACGAGGCCCACCTGGGCCAGCCACCAGCTGTGGGAAGTAGGGAGGTCACTTCACTTCTCTGCGGAATGGCTGGTGCCAGCGTCCCAACCAGATCACACGGGGTAGGGGCCGGAGGCTCTGAGCCTGTAGAAACCCTACTTACATCACACCACTTGGGTGCACTGCAAATCCAAGATGAGGCACGCCTAGAGCGAAGGGCCACAGTAAAGGGCTGAGGGAGAGGCAGGCTGCTCCAAGCCAAGGTAGGGTCTCTGGAGTTGCCTGTGTAGACAGACGCCCGGGTGGAGCACAGCTGATGTGCACAAAGCTGCCACCAAGCCTCTGTGGACATGGCCATCATAGCAGAGGACTCCAGGGGTATCCTGCCTGCTGCAGCCCATCAACCTACTTCCTGACAATTGTTCTTCACCAAGGAATGGCCAGTGGGGGAGTAAGTGCGTAGCATGTGGATCCTACATCTAGATCTGCCCTGGTGCTGAATCTCTGCAAAAGATATTCATCTTTCCTACTTTCTCTGGACTGATGTTACAGGCCACCAGACCCAACCTGGTAGCATGAGAGTCCCTGCCTTCTGTCAGGACACCTCAGCTATCCTGCATGACATAAGATGCTTTGTCTCCAATTCCAGTCCCAGCCGCACCCCAAGGATACAAAAGTCAAGACAATTTCAGTTGTTCACAGCAGAATAACATCACAGGCAGGAGACCCTGGCAGTGGGAGAGGGGCCTTCATGCTGTGGTTCATGAAGACCACAGAGCCTATCCTCTGTGATGAGTCTCCCCTGCCCAGTTCTAGCTGGACACTCATGAGTCTTCTCTGCAGCTGCTGCCCTTGGCCCCAAGCTTCCCAACCAGCCTTCCCACCCTGCAAGTACCTTCATCTCCTCTATGTGATTTCTACTTCACTCAATAGCCATGGCAGGTCAGCTGCCCAGGCAACGTCCAGCACAGAAGTCATGGGCTCCTTCAACGTTAGCCTCCTCAATTCTGCAGCTTAAAGCCCTTACCAGAAAAGAAATTATCTGATTTTCCCCTAGGGCTACTCTGTCCTCAGCAACTCCACTGACTTATTTAACAGGCAGCTCAAAACCCAACAGAAACTGGAGGAGGCTGCTCCACTGGAGTGTTGGTTTCAGTTCAGTAACTGGAGCAAGGTACTCTCCTTGCACACTGGCTAATCACTAGAGGCCTTTCAAAACAACAACAACAACAACAACAACAAAAAACCACTTCATTACCTCCTTCCACAAGCCCTGTAATGACCTAAGGCAAAAAGGAATCCGGGAGACAAGACCAGGAAAGAGAAGAAAGACAATTCACTAAGGACCTTCGGTGCATCAGAATAAAGAAACTGGCCATTCCCATCACTCCTAGGAGCTAAGAGATTTAAGAAGCAGTGTTGAAATGAGAGAAAGGAAAAAGTGATCCTTCCTACTTCCTCTTGAGTTGGAGTCCTGTTGCTTGGAACCATGATTTGGCTTGAAGCATGAATTTTCAAAATAGTGCATGGCTGTAGTCAAATGTAAGAGAGGAACATTTTACCCCATAACAAATCCAAGTGACTCAGATTGTCCACATCACTGTTCATTCCCTTACTGTGGCTAACGGAGAGTTTCCTATTTGCTAAAATACTCCTTACAGCAACAGCTTGCAAATAAGATGCCTTCCCCACAATTATATGCCATCTCTCCCGTCTACAAAAAACCCAGAAACATTGCTTTTCAGATTCTCCACCTTTCAGACTGTCCTCAACCACCTCTGGTATTCCTGAGCTCTATAGGAAATGCCTGCCTCAAGGACTAGACTTACTCTCACCTACCCCATAACTTGACTACCTAGGGCTCCATACTGCCCTTAAGTAGCTCTGTGACCTTGGGCAAATCACCCAACCCTGCTGGAACTCAATCTCCTTGTGTCCTCATTCAGTGACAGGGTAGGGTTAAATGCTAAGGTCCTTTCCAGCTCTAACCCTTTATTGTTCTATATATACACTTGGTTAAGGTATAAATGAAAAGTTTACAAAATGCCTAGCACGATAACCTGGCTCATAGAAGGGCTCAATAATTGCTTGTTGAAAGAATGGAGGATGCAGAAGTGGTGAGGCTGGTCAGACGTCTATCTGTGCTACAAATAATAGCAAGTGCACTCCTGCCAATGTGATAACACTAAAAAAGTATCTGATGCTATCATTCTTCACGGTCAGTAAAAACAAATAGAAACCATTGTTAGAATCATAGCACTTAAGAGCTAGAAAGGATTTTAGAAAACATGTCCAACGAGAAATCAACCCAAACATGTAAACTGAAAGCTTGTAGATGCAGAGCTACAGATCAGATTTGAGTGAAGAGTTTGAAGCCAACTCCCTCCCAACTCATTTTAGCTAGTGGGGTTTAGGGGGTATGGGGATGCCAGGGAAGAGATACTGTGATCCATGGGACCACACGTGAACATACTGAGTTCCTCATTTCTCAGGAAATTGAGCTAAACCAGAATTGAAAAAAATTGTGTGTGTGTGTGTGTGTGTTGTGGTGGGGGGTGGAGAATCAGAGTGAACACGGGAGGAAACAGAGCAAAGCAGAGCTTCACTATCACCCCAAGCACAAGCCTTTAGTACTCTGATCCCTCAGTAGCAACCACAGGCCACAGTGCCGTCTGCCACCAGATTAGAGGGGATTGATGGCCACAGCACTCCCCTCTTTCCAAGGCTCTAAGTCACCATCTGTTTTCCAAGGGGAAACTGGATTGGTGGGGGCTAGAGGGTTTGCACAGGGAGGGACATATTCCAAAGCCGCCAGAAGGCAAGGGAAACTCAGATGAAAGTCATAGCAAATCTCATCTGGACAAAGATGCTGCTCTCAGGATGTCTGCTGTGTTAAGCAGTAGTTGTCAGTCATCAGTAAGAGCAGCATTCTACTCGTGCAGACTTCCCTTCCGGACTAACATGTTTGAAAGAGAAAAAGTTAAGGATGGGCCCACACGACCTGAGATCCGCTTGAGAGGATCCGACTGCAAGATCTGAAGCTGCAGTCAATAAAAACCGGGAACAGGCTTTATTTCTAAACGGGGAGGCGTAGTCAAAGTGCGATGGACTGGAAGTAAAAAAAAAAAAAAAAATTTGGGTTCCGGTTTGGGCTCTACCTTGAACTCTCTTTGAGCCACTGGACAAGTCAAATCCTGTCTCTGGATGTGAGTTTCCAAATCTGTAAAATGGGCAAGTTGGGTTGGCGGACCTCCTTCCAGCTCCGCGCGTTACGCTGCCCGAAGGGGCACTCCGCCAGACTTGTGCAGGGCACTGCCGTGCAGGGCGGGGCAAGAAGAGAACAGGAACCCGGGCTCACGAAAAGGCCCCGAACAGGGCCCGACCCTAGAAAAAAGGGCAGCACTAGGAGCAAAGGCCGCGGCTCCGCTCTTACCTGCCGCCTGCCGCCTCCCCAGTCAGCCAAATGGAACCCCACAGCCTCTGCCGCCGCTCACTGCCACCCCCTCCAGCTCCGCAACCCTGCCGGGCCCGTCTCAGTCCAACCAACCATCGCCCGCCACCCGCAGCACCAGCCCGCAGACTGGGACCCGCCGCCAGGCCATCCTGGACCACAGGCGCACGCGCAGGCGGTCTGGAGCCCCGCCCCCGGACTGGTCCCGGGGCAACCTGGGAAATAAAGTTTCCCGGAGAAGGAGCTCCCAACGATCAGGTGATAAATCACACCAATTGGCGCGTTTCTTACTGTGAAACTGCTCCTGAACTTCGGCCAATGAGAAGTCGACTTCGTTTCCCTCCAGTGGCAGTCATGGCGCCACCCGTGAGGTACTGCATTCCGGGTAAGTGTGCGGGGCCCATAGCGAATTCTGGGTGGAACAGAGGCAGGAAGGCTGGATGGCCAACACCTTATGGGGACCCGTGACTAATGCAGCGTTTTTCTTCAGGCGAACGTCTGTGTAACTTGGAGGAGGGCAGCCCGGGCAGCGGCACTTACACCCGACACGGCTACATCTTTTCGTCGCTTGCTGGCTGCCTGACGAAGAGCAGCGAGAACGGCGCGGTAAAGGGGCAGCTTCCCATTTCCTCCTCCTCTTCCTTTTTTTTTAGGCTGGTTTTGATTTCGCGGTCATTGGGCAGGGGCACTACGGACGCGTCTTTAGTGCCTCAGCAGAACAGTTGGTCTCCGAGTTTCTTCCAGCTGAGGTCTCCACTGCTGGGCACTTAGCCACCACAGACCAGATGTGTTGCTCTCGCTTGATTATATTGCTGACACTCGGGGAAGGAAGTTAGGGGACGAGCAGAGGCGGACTCAGCCCTGCAGTGAGCTGAATCTTGTCCAAATGTCGCCCACTTCTCCGGTTTCATCTTGCTCCGCCATGCCCACCTCACTCTGCAGTCTAGTCACACAGGCTTCTTTCACTGTCGCTAGTGGGGTAAGCTCTCTCCTGCCACAGAGCCTTTGTACACACGGCATCTATTTGTAACACGCTCATCTCCTTAGCCTGTTTAATTCCTACCTATCTTTCAGATAGCCTTTCTAGTATCACTTTATGAGAGAAGCCGTGCTAGACCCACTAGTCAAGGAAAGGAGTTTTGTGAGCTTTTATTTTTTGTTTGTTTTGTTAAACTCTCACAAAGAACTAAATTTCTTTCCTTCCGTGCGCTCATCTTTGCATACAATTAAACATTCAGTTACATGCTCCCCCTAGACTCTTCCCTTACTAGACTCTAAGTTCCATGTGAAGCAAACCTTCCCACCATACCTTTAGTGCCAAGCACAAGGGCCTGTGCTCAGTAAATGTTTGTTGAATGCCTAACACTGTTCTCTCTAGTTCCAAAGGCTGATCCAGGATTAGCCCAGGATCAGATAAACAGTCTTGGAAGGAGCAGCTTAAAGACAGGGAGCATAGTAGAAAGAGGATTCAGAATTAGAACATTTAGGTACTGGCTAACTAGACCTTGTTTCTGCTTTAGGTTAGAAACTTGATCTCTCGGGGGGCGCCTGGGTGGCTCAGTCCGGTAAGCGGCTGCCTTCAGCTCAGGTCATGATCCTAGGGTCCTGGGATCGAGTGCCGCGTCCTGCTCCCTGCTCAGCGGAGAGCCTGCTTCTCCCTCTGCCTGCCACTCTGCCTACTTGTGCTCTCTATCTATCTGTCAAATAAATAAATAAAATCTTTAAAAAAAAAAAAAAGAAACTTGATCTCTCGGGCACCTGGGTGGCTCGGTTAAGCGACTGCCTTCGGCTCAGGTCATGATCCTGGAGTCCCGGGATCGAGTCCCACATCGGGCTCCCTGCTCAGCAGGGAGTCTGCTTCTCCCTCTGATCCTCTTCCCTCTTGTGCTCTCTATCTCTCTCATTCTCTCTCTCCCAAATAAATAAATAAAATCTTTAAAAAAAAAGAAAGAAACTTGATCTCTCTGGTTTTAGTTTTGTCCTCATATGTAAAATGAGAGACTTTTTATTCAACCAATTTTGGGAATGTCTTTAACATATCTAAGTTTATTCATTTCATAGAAATATTTATTTATTATTTTATTTTTTTAAAGATTTTATTCATTTATTTATTTGACAGAGAGAGACACAGTGAGAGAGGGAACACAAGCAGGGGGAGTACGAGAGGGAGAAGAAGGCTTCCCGCTGAGCAGGGAGCCCGATGCAGGGCTCGATCCCAGGACCCTGGGATCATGAGCTGAGCCAAAGGCAGACACTTAACCAACTGAGCCACCCAGGCGCCCCTCATAGAAATATTTATTGAGCATTTTCATGTGCTAGGTGCAATGCTGACCTCTAGAGATATGGTAATGAGCTAAATACACATCGTTTCTGTTATCAAGGGACACAGACATAAATTGTAAACAAGTAAATGCTCAAATTAGTGTATGGCTACAAATGGGATGACTATTTTGAAAGAATATTACAGGTTACCATGAGAACATGTAAAAGACAAACCCACCATAGTCAGGAGAAGTGACATTTAACCTTAATCTAAAGGATAAATAAAAATTGGGTAGGTGGGGAGAGCACAGTCCTGACAGAAAGAACAGGTTGAACACAAATTCTGAGATGGGAAGATGTTTAATGAATTAGTGAAACTGAAAGAAGGCTGGGGAACTGAAGCATAGTAAGTGAGGGAGAGGTAAATAAAAGATGAGGCTCAAAATATCTGTCTTGGGGTGCCTGGGTGGCTTAGTTGAGCATCCGACTCTGGATTTCAGCTCGAGTCATGATCTCAGGATCCTGGGATCGAGCCCCGTGTCAGTGCTCCCCACCCCCACTCAGTGGGGAGCCAGCTTGGGATTCTCTCTCCCTCTGCCCCTCTCCCCATTTGCTCATGCACGCGCTCTATCTCTAAAATCTTTAAAAAAAGATATCTGTCTGACACCAACAGCCAATACCATGCTCAAAGAGAAAACTACAAGTATTCCCTTAAAATAGAAGAAATCAAATATGGCCATTATTATATAACATTTATTTGGAAATTCTAGCCAGTACAATAAAGTGAGAAACAGAGGGAAGTAGTATAACTTTGGAGGAGTCAAGTTATCCATGATGATAGACAATGGTTATATACCGAGAAACCCAAGAAAATCACCAAAAACCTTGTTAGAACTTATCTGAAATGATTAGATTATGTCTTCTAGTAGCATTCTTCCCTTGAAGAATGGCCCCTTGACCTTCCTATTGCCTAAAATTTCTAAGGCTGTCTGCTCTGGGCACATATGAGTCTATAGTCCACCCATCCTTGTGATCTCAGCTGTGGACCAAAGCATTCCTACATTACTCTTAAGCCACAGATTACCTTTATGCAAGGCTTAGTCAGGATCTCACATTTTATTGTTTTCTCTATAGCTTCCTGTCATTTCTGTCATGAGAGAAACAGAGTCCCAATTACTACCAGATGTGGGGGCTATTGTAACCTGTAAGGTAAGTTGGTCTTAACCTCCCTGCTTAGGACTCTTGTTCAGTGGTGAAATCATGATCACTGTGGAACTGCACTGTCTAATATGGCAGCCACTTGCCATATGTGGCCATTTAATTGAATTAAAATTAAACAAAACTCAAAGTTCATTTCCTCAGTCCCACTAGCTACATTTCAAGTGCTCACATACAGTTAGGAGCTGCCCTGTTGGCCAGCACAGAACATTTCTGTCATCACAGTGTTACTGGACTGTGCTGGCCTAGAAAGTTCTGGGATAGTGATCAAGGCAGCCAGATTCAGGCACACATAGTTCTTTCACTGAGCTGAGTCTCTGAGTATGCAGTTGGGGAAACAGGGGTGTCAAAGGATAATAAGGAGGTCTATTTTTAACATCTAGAAGCTGAGATCTTATTCTGCAGAGAAGCAAAAGACCTTATATTATAGCATTCCTGTTAAATTTCATCTTTTAGGGTGTTTCAGGGGAAGTACAAATTAAGGCTGTACTGATCAATAAATGTAATACATCCTTACTCCCTGCCCATCCCCACCTTCTGCCAGTTAAATTAACTTGTAGCTCTTAGTTGCTCTCTTTATTAATTGTTCCAGCAAAAAATCTGTGTTATTCTCAAAATAACTGAAGAGGCAGTGATCCAAATATTATGCAGTAGCTGAGATGTACACTTAAATTCTGTCCACTCTACAGGGCTCGTAGCAAGATCTGTTAAAGGTCTAGATTTGCTGTGATGCCCTGTGTCTATTTATGTTAGGCTTCTGTATTTTTCAAGATCTATTCCATATTATTTCACTGGATGCCCACAGTAACTTTATTAGGTGGCCAGAGTGACTCTCATTGCACTTTATATATATCATTTATGCAGAGTTAAGTAGGAGTTAACTTGTCTTAAATCCTGTAATTAGTAGGGTTGCTTGGACTAAAATTCTGGTAATTCCTACTTTCTTGCCTCCTCCTTGAGCTGACAACTGCTACTACTCTAATGCTGATCTTTTCTCTGTTCCCCAGGTCTCTAGCATCAATTCGCGCTTTGCCAAAGTGCACATCCTGTATGTAGGGTCCACACCACTTAAGAACTCTTTTCGAGGAACTATCCGGTAAGAAGTGTTCATGTCTTTGCCTTTGCCTCAGCACCTGGAATGAGATTAGGATAGAACAGGGGACTGGAATTTTTAGGAACAATTACAGTTCCTATACCTGCCTCTCTGGCTCTCCTCTTAGTGTTTTGATTGTGTCCAGGTAGTGTCCAAAGGAAATGTTAAAATGTATGAGCTAGGACAAAAGGAAAATATTGACAAGATTGGGCTTTAAAATAAAATGAAAAGAATTGAGCTAAGCTGGAGACTAGTGATGCAGGATGATTCCTATGAAACAAAGTAGAAGACATTTTAGGAAGCATCTTCCTTTCTTCAATATAGTTTAAACCCAAGGATTTTAAGACATTAAAAAGGTTAGTGGGTGAGGGGTACCTGCCCGGCTTAGTCAGTAAAGCATGCACCAGTCTTGATCTTGGGGTTGTGAGTTCAAGCCCCACTTTGGGTATAGAGATTACTTAAAAATAAAATCTTAGGGGCACCTGGGAGGCTCAGTTGGTTGAGCAACTGATTTGCCATTTCAACTCAGGCCATGATCTCATGGGTCATGAGATTGAGCCTATGTTGGGCTCTGTGCTCAGCGGAGAGT